AAAATCCAAACTAGTCTATCTGTCCTTCTAGAGTTATACGGAATGGTTTAATAAGTCCGACCATTTGAGAATACTCATACAACTATCACATGGAAATTAATTAGTAATAAACTTTGTCTTCGTCTGAGAGATTATCTGTAAACCAAATGATGTTTAAGAAATAATCCAAACTAGTCTATCTGTCAATCTAGTAGTTATAGAAGTGTGTCTGTATTCTAATTAGAAATTGCACATGTTATGAAATAACAGATAACCAAATGTATAATTCTTTAAGGCTTTTAGATAGTAATTTATCTCATATCCTCATTGCAAAATAGCCAGAAATTTAATTTTTATTTTTATATACTTTTAATAATCGTAAACATAAAATAATATATTTCTTTTTAATACTTTTAATAATCGTGAAGGCTCGTAGATAGTTTTATATAACTCGAAAACTTGGGATTTGTCTAGTTAATTAGTTTATAGGATCGACTTAACCACCAAATTTCTTTTATGGATGATATATTGTGTTTTTATCGGTTTTAAGTCTTTTTTTTCTTTTTCATTTTATAACTTTTATTGAGTCAAAGTGTCTTTTTAGAGTCTTTTAGTCCATTATAGAGTTCTTACAGGTTTTAGGTTGCTTTGGAATAAAACGAGCTGTTTTGGGAAGCAAACACACATTTGGAGATGCAGATTCATGTAGAAGTGTCAGATGTTTGGGATCAGATGAACAACTTTCCACCGTTAGATCTTTTTCATATTTTGACACAAGATGAAGACAGATGTTAGCTTTCATTTTCAAGTGACTTGAAAGAAATCTAACGGTTAATTCAAGAGTTACACCCGATTTCGTGAATACAGGTCATTCTGACGAGTAACTGAAGTAGATGCAGATTGAAACCTGAGAGTCCCAGACCGATCGGTCTACACCCGGGACCGATCGATCCCTTACCTCTGACGTATTTTTGGGCCCTTATTCGATCCGAAACATACCCAACTCGTCTCCTATTGTTTTTAAACCCTAGGCTCGACTTTTGAGCAGCTATCCTTCATATTTTTGAGTTCTAAACATTGTTCTTTGCTTTCTAAACAATTTTGGGAGAAGAATCAATCATCTTGACACTTGGAGAAGATTTCTAAACCCTTTCTTATTATATTTGCAATTTCATCATGTTTTCTTTCATATCTATTTGCTTTGTTTCAATTGCTATGTCTGAGTAGTCTCTTAATTGGGTTTTAGGGTTTCAAGTAGGAGAATTCAATGATTTGATAGATTGGATGTATTAGGGAATTCTTAATCTTTAGGTTCTTCAATTTACATGTTCAAAATGCTAGAATAGGATTGATCACCCTGTTTTAGAACTTAGGCTTTTATGTGTTTCAGAGATGTTCAATAAAATGCCTGAATGAATGTAAATTGAGCATTGTATTTCTAACCTGCGAGAGTTGATGTTAGAACGCTTTGTGAACCAAATGAACCTGTTTGATAATGCAAATTTGGCTAGCAAATTACAAATGAGAGTTTAGTAATTGAATAGTTAAAATTTATTGACTAATGTCTTGAGAGAGAATTAGTCTAAACTTCTGTTCATGTTCAAGAACGGTTCTTCATGTTTGAATTCCTTATTGCTTTTATTTGTTATTCATTGATTCTCTGAAATTACCCTGCAGCCCAATATCTTTAATTCATAAGTTTAATCTCTTTATTTGCATTTTTATTTACAAAAACTGAAAACCGAACAACAAGTCTTTTCCGCTTTAGCTGATAACGAGTCTCGAAAGTCTTTAGTGTACAATTGCTCCTTGTGATCGATCCCGCATATACTTTACTTCGGTTAAGTTATCGGGTTAAATACTCGAGTAATCAATGGATATACAAAGTAGAACCAATATACTCTTAGCGATTACCAGCTAATCTGAATTAACCATGGAAATTATTAAGTGTTCTTTAATAATCAAATCATATCTATAAAAAATGAGTCAACTAATCCACCTATTAAAGACAAATTATCAATTAAACATTCACATTTCTCTCCTAACGAAAACCCTATAAATACACACTAAAAGCTTTACATTTCTCTCCACCCATCTCAAACAAACTTAAAAGCACTACTACTTCTTGAGCCTTTTAAACTGCACAAACAAATGGCTCCAAGAATCTCCCTTGCACTCTTCCTTTCCCTTAACCTCCTCTTCTTCACTTACACCTCTGCGACCACTCCGAGCAGAAGGACTTGTCCTAAAGATTCCCTAAAACTCGGTGTTTGCGCCAATGTGCTCAAGCTTGTGGACCTAAAATTGGGAAACCCACCTGTGAAGCCATGCTGCTCTCTCATCCAAGGCTTGGCTGACCTTGAGGCTGCTGTCTGCCTCTGCACTGTGCTCAAGGCTAACGTTCTTGGAATCAACCTTAACCTTCCTATCGATCTCAGCGTTCTCCTCAATGTTTGCAGTAGAAAAGCTCCAAAGAACTTCCAGTGCGCCTAAGTGAAAAAACTTATGGCATACCTACATACATTTGATGAAGTCTCGAACTTATATTCTTTTCCTCATGTTTTACTTTAAGGTGATCTATTTTTTTGTATTTTTCTTGACTTTTTAAAAATGAACGTACGTTTTCATGTAATAATGGATACTGCATGGGTTTGTCCTGTCTGTGCATGTAATCGGCAAATTTGTACTCCTTTACTTCATTGTTCCTTTATATCCTCTTTGCAACTGTATTCTTCGAATTTTACTTATAAATTCATTTCTCACTATGATTAAATTTTAACTTAACAATTAAAAATCCCCACTGAACACCAAATTATATTTTCACCAAAACACTACAATATTAATTCAAGGCTCTTCGAAAGAGTCCGCTCCGGTTTTCTACCATTGTCAACTCCGTGTGGTGGCCCTCTGGGGAGAAGTCCACTCTGAAACACTTCGGTGTGTTTCTACCGCGACTGACCGGATCAGTCGATAGGATTTATATATAAAAAAAAATTCATAATCAATGTCAATTTTTAACAAGTAAGCTGATCATTGTTTTCATATACTATTTTAGGAGTCATTTGTCTTTCAATATAGAAATTTCAAAACAAATGACTTTCTAACTATTTATCTAGAATAAATTTCATTATGAAATTAAGTTTTTCTCAGTATGATCTATCAATTTCACGCAATAAAAATTTCACTTGTAATCGATCCGATAAACATTGGGTCAGCAAAATTTTGGTTTGATTTCTGGTAGCATGTGTCAAGCTATATGAAAATGAATGGATTTCCGACTCAAAAACAATTGACAGTCAGTAAATTAACTGTATATTTCCCTATATATTACATTAGGTTTTTTATATTTTTTCCTTTACTTTCAATCTTGATTTGATTAACCTGCTGAGATATTGAAAAGAACATACTTTTTTCTTTTCTTTTTTTAACTTAAAAAAAAAATCTGATCCAATAAGAATTAAAAGAACACCACTAGTTGAATATACGATTTGAAGATAATTCATATTTTATTGTTGTATATGTAAAATTTAAAGTTTACTCTTTAAGGTTTAGGGTTTAAAATTGTAACAAGTTTGAATTATGATTTTTTTAAAGAATATAATGAAGTGTGAAGCGTGTTTTTTTGGTAACATATAATATTCTATGAAAACCTAAACATTATGGCTATTTGGTATACAGTACTATTGCTTATGTGAATAAAATCTTTGCACATCCCAAAAGTCTCGGGTCAACTTTCAAAAAGAAAAATATACAGCAAAATTTCAACTTTGTATTCACTTAATTATTGTTTAGAAATTATGATCATTGATTTTATTAATTCCAGTAATACAGAAGTATGTTTTTATTCCTTTTTCTAAAAGAAAATGTATAATAGTTACTTTTGATGTGTTAACCACCTATAGTCTCCTATCAATTTCTTTAATTCATTCTTCACGTCTTTATAGATATACTATGTAATTAATAAAAGAAAATTTCATTATTGTAAAAAAAAAAAGGAATAGATTTTGGCATGATGATTATCACGAAACTATATATATGTTATTTATTTAGCAAAGTGATAAAATAGTATGATCTCGCATATACATCTTATTCGATATAACTCATATAGACGTATTATCCGAAAGATAAAATAACAAATTTTTTTTTCATATTGAACATTACTTTCCTTTTAAATTTGGAGTAAAGTATTATTTTGACGAATTTGGATTTTTTTTTTTCACACTATCAAATTGAACTTTGATGTCATATTTGTGCTAAACCATCTAATAAAGTCTAACGCTGAGACTACCAATACAAATATCACATGTCGTCAAAACAAATTCCAAACAAGTCCCATCTGTTCTTCAAATTATACGGAATGATTTCATAAGTCCAACCATTTGAGACTACTAAATACAATTATAACATGGTAATGAAGTAATAAACTTTGTCTTCGTTTGAGATATTATCTGTAAGCTAAATGATGTTTTAGAAACAATCCAAACTAGTCTATCTGCTCAATCTAGTAATAATAGAAGTGTGTATGTATTCTTATTAGAACTTGCACATGTTTTGAAATAATACATAACCAAATGTATGATGATGTCTAAGGCTTTTAGATGGTAATTATATTCTCATTGAAAAATAACCAGAAAGAAAAAGAAAATATTATTTTTATATGCTTTTAATAAAATATAAAATAGATAAATATTTTTTATACTTTTAATAATAATCGTGAAGGCTCGAAAATAGATCGATATAATTTGAAAACTTGGGAGTTTTCTGGTTAATTAGTTTAGAAGATCGACTTCAACCACCAAATTTCTTTTATGGATACACAAATTAGAACAATATACTCATTACCAGCTAATTTGACCAATGAGAATTAAGAGTTCTTTAATAATCAAATCATATCTATAAAAAATGAGTCAACTAATCCCTTATTGAGACAAATTATCAATTAAACCTTTACATTTCTCTCTTATTGAAAATTCTATAAATAGACGCTAAAGCTTAACATATCTCTCCACCCATCTCAAACAAACTTAAAAGCACTACTACTTCTTGAGCCTTTTAAACTGCACAAACAAATGGCTCCAAGAATCTCCCTTGCACTCTTCCTTTCCCTCAACCTCCTCTTCTTCACTTACACCTCTGCGACCACCCCGAGCAGAAGGACTTGTCCTAAAGATTCCCTACAACTCGGTGTTTGCGCCAATGTACTCAAGCTAGTGGACCTAACATTGGGAAACCCACCAGTAAAGCCATGCTGCTCTCTCATCCAAGGCTTGGCTGACCTTGAGGCTGCTGTCTGCCTCTGCACTGTGCTCAAGGCTAACGTTCTTGGAATCAACCTTAACCTTCCCATTGATCTAAGCGTTCTCCTCAATGTTTGCAGTAGAAAAGCTCCAAAGAACTTCCAGTGCGCGTAAGTGAAAAAACTTATGGCATACCTATAAAATAAACGAATCATACGTTTAATGAAGTCTCGAACTTATAGTCTTTTCTTCATGTTTTATGTTAAGGTGATCTATTTTTTGTATTTTTCTTGAATTGTTAACGTACGTTTTCATGTAATAATGGATACTACATGGGTTTGTCTATGCATGTAATCGGCAAATTTGTTCTCCTTTGCTTCATTGTTCCTTTTTATCTTCTTTGTAACTGTATTTTTCGAATTTTACTTATAAATTCACTTCTCACTATGATTAAATTTTAACTTAAACCTCTTTAACCAATCAAACCTTAGCTTTCTCCTCATCGTTTGCGGCAGAAAGGCTACACGTGGGTTCCAATGCCCTTATTTAAAAAAGTTAATTTCTAAAACTCTTGAAACTGTTTACAAAAATGTAAACTGTTTGCCGTAAGACCTCACAATAATAAGATCGGCGGATTAAACCCAAAAGCCTGTTAAATCTTAAACAAACAGCGACTTGAATGGTTTTTTTAATAAGAAAACCATGTTTTAGATGTGAATTATATATATAGCAGTCGCAATTTGGGATTATCTGTGTTATATTTACAAATATGTTTAGGTTTCGTAAGATTCATAATCATTAATCAATGTCAATTCGTAACGAGTAAACTGATCACTGTTTTCATATACTACTTTTTATACCAAAATTGAAAAGCACATGTATTAAACGTCCAAAAAATCATAGATGGCGAATTTTTAGTTTTTTTCTCTTTTTTCTTTTGTTTTTGATTTATTTTAAAATTCTGACCCAATAAGAATTAAAAGAACATTAATAGTTGTATATACTTTGAATATAATTCATATTCTGTTGTTGTATATGTGAAATTTAACGTTTATTCTTTAGGTTTCAGGGTTTAAAATATTGTAACGAATTTGAATTATGATTTGTTAACGAATATTATCAAGTGTGAAGCATGTTTTTTTGGTAACATATTAATATCCTATGAAAACCTAAGCATCATGGTTATTTGGTATAAAGATTTGCTTATGTTAATCAAATCTTTGCACATCCCAAAAATATCGGGTCAACTTTCAAAAAGAAAAAGATTCAGCAAAAGTTTAACATTTTTTTTCAGTTCATTATTGTTTATATCATTGATTTTATTCCATTATTACCTGTATGTATTTAGTCTTACACAGGTATGTTTTTATTCCTTTTTCTAAGAAAACTAGGCTCGGACCCGCGCTACAGCGCGGGGGAAAAGTGTCGGTTTTTGTTTTTTTTCCGAATTACGTAAACTTTTAACTGTTAAAATGGATTGTTGGTGTTGAATTTGGCAAGTATGAGAATATGTACTATCGTGGATGTGTACTTTGTCACGTTTGCTAGGTTTAAATCCGCGCTACAACACGAAAGAATATTTTCAAGTTTATTTTATTTTAACGTGTTTTGTCGTATGTGTTATTATTTCGTTCATTTTAGTATCAACAATTATTATTTCGAAATGTATATTTGGTTTCAATTCTTTGAGAAAAGTGTGTTTTCGGAAATTAAATATAATATTTTTATAAACTAAATAAAAGAACGTTTATTAAACAAATTGTATATTCACAATGTATGTGGTGACTAACTAACCAATCAGCAAAAACCCGTGTATTTAAAAAAAAAATCATGAAAATATATGATATTGAAAAATCATGAAAATCATGTATATACATGTATCACACAAGAACATATGAGTTTGAAAGATTTGTATATACTTGTATCCTATAAAAATAAAATAAAAATATTATTATACTTCATATTGTATAAGAGACCATAATATTCTTGTTATTAACATATTAAAATATTTAGAACATTTTAAGGAAAATTCAGAATTTAAGGTAATTTATTTAAACTAACTTATGGAATATATTCTTTATGACTGATTTTGTATTAGTAGTGATTCGATGATTAATAATTACAAAGATAAAATATTGTTATTAAAGTATTTTTAGTTAATTATAATAATTATCCTAAAATTTAATTATTTTTTTTGTATCCAAAATATTTCATATTACTCATTGAAATATATTAATGATTGTAAATTATTTTTTTTTTCAAAATTCAAATATAACCATTTCTAGATATATATGGATCTCTATAATTTTGCATTAATTATGCTATTGATAAAATATTATTCTTTTTTTATAGGTAATTCAAATTGATAAAGATTAAAATAATTTTGAAACCTCTTTTCATATACTATTTTTTTATTCTGATTAAATCTTTTATTTAACTATTAGGGAATGTAAAAAATAATAATAA